CGAGTGGTTAAAGCTGCCATTCAGCAGCTATCATTGACGTCAGGTCCTATCTTGCAGGAGAAGGGTGCCTTGTTTGCTTTGTGGTAAATAAGCCCCTGTATGTATGTATGTGTGTGTGTACATATATATATATACCCCGTATTTTTCGCTCCATAAGACGCACCTGACAATAAGACGCACCTAGGTTTTAGAGGCAGAAAACAGGAAGAATTAAAATCTGAACTAATGGACTGCAGACATAGTAGAGGAGATGACCAGAGACTGCGGACAGTACAGGGATGACCAGTGACTTCGGACAGTACAGGGATGACCAGAGACTGCGGACAGTACAGGGACCAGAGATGCGGACAGCACAGGGACTGACCGAGACTGCGGACAGTACATGACCAGAGACTGGGATGACCAGAGACTGCGCGGACAGCACAGGGGATGACACAGGGACTGAGGACAGCACAGGGATGACCAGAGACTGCGGACAGCACAGGACACTGCGGACAGCACAGGGATGACCAGAGACTGCGGACAGCACAGGGATGACCAGAGACTGCGGACAGCACAGGGATGACCAGAGACTGCGGACAGCACAGGGATGACCAGTGACTGCGCACAGCACAGCACAGGGATGACCAGTGACTGCGGACAGCACAGGGATGACCAGTGACTGCGGACAGCACAGGGATGACCAGTGACTGCGGACAGCACAGGGATGACCAGAGACTGCGGACAGCACAGGGATGACCAGAGACTGCGGACAGCACAGGGATGACCAGAGACTGCGGACAGCACAGGGATGACCAGAGACTGCGGACAGCACAGGGATGACCAGAGACTGCGGACAGCACAGGGATGACCAGAGACTGCGGACAGCACAGGGATGACCAGAGACTGAGGACAGCACAGGAGATGACTGCTGACCTTTGGGGAGGGAGGGGGAGCGGGTACCTGAATTTGACAGGTACCCGCTCTTACTTCCGCAGTTTTTCTTTGATCTTACCTGTTCCTCTATCCAGCCGCGCGCTGTCTTCCCGGCTTCTGTAGTGTGGGCGCTCGGTGGACAGCCGGATGCCCAGTGCGCATGCGCGAGAAGCGCTGCGCTTTGTGATTGGTCAGGCGGCTTCTGGGATCTGTCATGTGTCCCAGGTACCGCCTTACCATTCACAAAGAGCACCGCTTCTTGCGCATGCGCACTTGGGACCCGGCTGTCACGCACACTACAGAAGCCGGGAAGACAGCGCGCTGCTGGATAGAGGAACAGGTAAGGTCCCGCTGCAGAGCTGAGAGGCCGGCCCGCTATTCTGACAAGGCGGCGGTGGAAATACCGGACCGGCCGCTCTATATTCGCTCCATAAGACGCACTGACATTTCCCCCCCTTTTTGGGGGGAAAAAAAGTGCGTCTTATGGAGCGAAAAATACGGTATATAATATATTTTACGGAGGAGCCAGACTCCTATTCCTGGGAGGAAAGAGTAGAAGACTATACCCAGGGGCGGACTGACCATTTGGGAACTCAGGCACTGCCCGAGGGCCTGGGGTCAGTAGAGGGCCCCATGAGATGTCCCTGGTACCTTTTCATAGGTTTTTTTGGGTGTGGTTTGAGTGTGGGCGAGGACATAGGGGCCCCATGTTCCCCTGTTGCCCGGGGGCCCCATGAGTTGTCAGTCCACCCCTGACTATACCATCTTCCTCCATTCCTAGGGAGAAAAGAGCTATGCAGACTATACCATGTTTTTGTGTTCCTGGGGAAGAGACTTGCAGACTATTCCATTCTCCTCTAGTCCCATGGGGAGAGAGCTCTGCAGACGATACCATCTTCTTCTATTCCCAGGGGAGAGAACTCCACAGACTATACCTTTTTCCTCCTAGTCTCAGGGGGAGAGAATTTTACAGACTATACCACCTTCCTCTATTTTTGGGGGGAGGGAGCTCGGCAGACTAGAACATCTTCCTCTATTCTTGGGGGGTAGAGAGCTCTGCAGACTAATACCATCTTCTACTCACAATGGGAAAGCCATTGTCTAGCCTGTAGAGGTCTGTGCGTCCCTCCATGGATATGCCTCCCCAGACCATTACTGACCCACCACCAAAACAGTCATGCTGAACAATGTTACAGGTAGCATAACATTCTCCATGGCTTCTCCAGACCCTTTCATGTCTGTAATGTGCTTAGGGTGAACCTGCTCTCATCTGTGAAAAGCACAGGGCGCCAGTGGTGGACCTGCCAATTCTGGTGCTCAATGGCAATTGCCAATGGAGCTCTATGGTGTCAGGCAGTGAGCACAGGGCCCACTAGAGCCCACTATGTCGGGCCCTCAGGCCACCCTCATTGGGTGTTCTTGCAAGAACACTTATTGTTATCTCACATATATATTCTTATTCTTATTATAGCCAAATTTTCCACCCTAACTCCTCCCACAGTCTTTATATTACATAGACAGTAATAAACCGAAACGTGCGGATTGTTCCCGATTGGTGTGCTTTTACTTTGTGGAACGTTTCGCAGAATGGTTCATGAAATATCAGCATTTTTGTGGAGAAATTGGTCCCATAGGAATGAATGGCGGAATGTTCAAAACTAGAGTGTGAGCTGACAAAAGCTAGAGTGTGAGCTGAAAAATCAGGACATGATTTCTAAACTGCCATCACTCCCTCATTTTAAAGCCCACCTACACAAATCTTATATCAAAACGTTCAGGTATCCCTGCTGCCACTAACAATGTTCACGGCTAAGCCATAGTCCTGATAGTTTACACAATATGACCATTTGTTTTGCAGCTCACGCCGCCCATTGACATTCATTAAAACTCCAATCTAGCCACCTCAAATTTGAAGGGCAATTTCTAAACTGCGACTGTGCCTTCATTTTTAATATTGCAGAGACATACTATGCATCACAATGTAGGTCTGGGTCTTGTGATTCTCACAATATAAAGCTCTTCACTGTAGGATTTATAGTTTTTAAACTACAACTGTTTGAAAATGGCAACCGCCAGTGAAGTGAGCAAGTTGGAGCAGTTTGTTTTTAACCGCTCTTCTCTGCCCTTGTTGTAGAGTGAGTTGCCATAGGAACCCAGGGGTGTGATCAGGCAGCAGAGTGACAAAAGCTAGAGTGTGAGCTGAAAAATAAAAGTTGAAATGCATTTCTCACTCTATCAAGCTTGCCGTGTGCACTTTTTACATTTGATCAATCAATTGGTTAGTGTAATGTTCACTATCTTTACTCACTCCAAACACTCCACACAGTTACTCTGCCCACTCCATAAAGTTACTCTGCCCAGTCCAACCTTTTCACAGTTACTCCAGCCACTCCAACCACACGACAGTTACTCCAGCCACTCCAACCACACAATAGTTACTCCAGCCACTCCAACCACACAATAGTTACTCCAGCCACTACAACCACACAACAGTTACTCCAGCCACTCCAACCACACAATAGTTACTCAGTCACTCCAACCACACAACAGTTACTCCAGCCACTCCAACCACACAATAGTTACTCCAGCCACTCCAACCACACAACAGTTACTCCAGCCACTCCAACCACACAAACAGTTACTCCAGCCACTCCAACCACACAACAGTTACTCCACTCCAACCACACAACAGTTACTCCAGCCACTCCAACCACACAACAGTTACTCCAGCCACTCCAACCACACAATAGTTACTCCAGCCACTCCAACCACACAGTAGTTACTCAAGCCACTCCGCCCAGTTACTCCACCCACTCCTGTTGTAGACTACTAGTGGAGGCACACTTCACACAATTTCCCCAGAAATTGTAGCTTTTCTAGTTTAGTATTGTCAGCCACTGTGGCTTCATTCCACATCTGTCAGAATTTGCCCAGTAAATACTCCAGCCACTCCAACCACACACATAAAAAGTTTTTCAGCTTTTTTAAGCATTTTTGCATTAGCATTTAGCGGACTCCAAAAAAAAATTTATTTGGGTCAAAAAACAAAATGCCAGTTTGCGGCACTTTATCGTGTTTTTACAGCACACGTTTTTTAGCATTTAGACCATTTTTACAGCAATAGTTACGCTCTAGTCACTGGGTTTTTTTTTCCAACCACACAACAGTTACTCTATCCTGGGTTTTTATTTCCAGCCAAAACAAAACATTACAGTCTATGTGTGTAGCCACTGGACACCAACCGGGGATGGACACATAGGATAACATGCTGGGGGGTTTACTGGCTGTAGAAAAAAATGTCAAATGCCAAAAACAGCAGCTGTAAAAACACAACATGAGGACTACTGAACTCAGCCACATTTCCAATTCCACACAACAGTTACTGCACCAGCCACTCCAAGATTCAAATAAAAACACAATATTTACTAAAACTGGAGAGTGCAAAATCTGCCAGCTCCATAGTAACCAATCAGCTTCCAGATTTTAGTTCATTTACACTGCAAAACCACGTTTCCACCCATTTTTTTTCCACCCACTCCCTGTTGTAGACTACTATGTTGTGGAGTTGGCAAGAACACTTCACACAATTTCCCCAGAAATTGTAGCTTTTCTAGTTTTAGTATTGTCCTACCCAAATTTAATATGGTTTCTGTGGTATTCAAATCACTTCCACATCTGTCAGAATTTGCCCAGTAAATACAACAAATTTAAGTCTCTCTCTGCTTCTGCACACTGGTTTTACGTTTTTCAGAACGCATTTTGGTGAATGTTAACGGTGTATGCAAAAGTCACATTAAAAATGTGTGTTTTTCAGCTCGTTTTTTAAGCATTTTTGCAGCTGAAGTTAGCTGATTTAGCGGAGATTTTGCCATATTTGCTTATCCCAAAGTTTTTTTCCCAAAATTCAAAAAAAATTTATTTGGGTCATAAAATTCTGGGAGGACGTCATATGACATCCTCCCATTCTCACTGCGCATGCAGTCCAAAAATGCCATTTTGCGGCACTTTATCGTGTTTTCGGACACAGCGTTTTGCCACGATCAGCTTTTTTTTAGCATGCCGATTATTTAGAACATTTTTGTACACAGCTCATCAGGGCAAAATCAGTGTTCTCTAGATCAGTGTAGCCCCAGCGCACCTGTCAGTATCCATCAGTGGTTTTTTTTTCCAGTGCCCATCAAACAAAACTGAGTTGATTCACAGTCAATCAATGCCAATCAGTGTCATGGCCAGTGCCGCCTAACATAGGTGCCTCCTAACAGTGCCATTCAGTGGTGGTTAGTGCCGCCTAATATACCTATAAGTGCCATATGTCCGTGCCATGTATCAGTGCTGCCTTTCAGAGCCCATCAGTGATGCCTGTCAATGCCCATCAGTGCCACCTACCAGTGCCTCCTCATCAGCGTCCATCAGTGCAGCCTATCAGTGCCCATCAGTGCAGCCTCATTAGCGCACATTAGTGAAGGAGAAAAATCACTTACTTACAAAATTTTATAACAAAAACTAAGAAAAAACATTTTTTTTTTTCAAAATTTTCAGTGGTTTTTGGTTTGTTTAAGAAAAAATAGAAAACCCAGAGGTGATTAAATACCACCAAAATAAAGCTCTATCTGTCACAAAAAAATGATAAAAATTTCATATGGGTACAGTGTTGATGACCGCACAATTGTCATTCAAAGTGCGACAGCGCTGAAAGCTGAAAATTGGCCTGGGCAGGAAGGGGGTATAAGTGCCCCATGGTTAATAACACAACATTACCACCTTGAGTTTCTTGAATTTCGATTCTATACTTGTATATATGGAGAGGCGGCACCAGCTACTTCCTGAGATGACAGCAGACACTTACATTGCCACGTAACAAAGTGCTGGGAGGATTCCATGAAGGAAAAATGAAGGCTTTGTTAAAGCAGAGCTAGAGAGTAGAAGGTCTTTTGAGGAGCGTAGAGTACGTGTTGGGTGGTATTTGGGTATCAGGTCGGTGAGGTAGTTTGGGGTAGAATTATGAATAACTTTGTACGTCAATGTTAGTAGTTTGAATTTTATGCGTTGGGCAATCGGGAGCCAGTGGAGGGAATGACAGAGGGGGGTGGCGGATACGGAGCGGTTAGTAAGGTGGATGAGTCTGGCCGCTGAGTTCAGGATAGACTGAAGCGGGATAGTCTGCGATGAGGTAGGCCGGTGAGGAGGGAGTTGCAGTAGACGAGTCGTGAGATAATAAGGGAGTGAATGAGTGGTTTAGTAATTTTTTTCCCCATAAATTTAGCCAAATTGTATTCTGCTACATGTGTTTGGTTAAAATAAAATCCCAGTAAGTGTATAATAATTGGTTTGTGTGAAAGTTAGAGCCAAAAAACTATGGTATATACAGTATATTTATAAATTTATAAAAACTGACTAGTGATGGCCTATGTCATTTCTTGAGGCCCTAAAAATGCCAGGACAGTACATATACCCCCTAAATGACTCCATTTTGGAAAGTAGACAGTCTGAGGTATTCTGTAAGTGATGTAGCGAGTTTTTTAAGTTGTAATTTGTTGTGTCAATTTTTTTTGAAAATTAAGAAATCAAGTAATTATTTTTTTACATATTGTCACCAGCACAGGACATGCCATCATATGACTGGTGTGGCGGTGATCATTGACACTGACTGGTGACAGTATGGTAAAAAAAAATCCAATAATTTTTTATTCAATTTTTTAAACTTTTTTTTTTCTTTTTTCGTTTTTTAACTTACATACTTTCAACAGAGTGCTTCAGTGTCACCATAGTAACACTACTTTGATTGCTGATACAATGATGATCATTGTAAAAGCAATGTCATTATCATCCTGGATTTATATAGCGCCACAGTTTACTCAGCGCTTTACAATACAAAGGGAGACAAGACGATACATCAACAATACAATTCAATACAAGAGGGTTAAGAGCTCCTGGGAGCTTACAATCTAAAACATGAATTAGTTACATTCATAATAGCTGTGATTACTAATGATCTGTGATTGGATACAGCTAATCACAAGGTACATGGTGCTGTGATTGGCCCAGGTACAGAATAATGTGATAGCTGTGGGCCAATCGCAGCATCACTTTATAGGGAGCACAGCTGTTATGAATGAGATTAATTTCTAACAGCTTTGCTGACATTTTGATCATGTGATCCCCAGGCTTCTCAAAGCAGTTGGGTACTGGGAGCCAAAATTCTCTGTGTCCGGTGGACACAGCAGTCATGGGAGCAGTGTCTGCGTGCCCCTAATCCGGAGAAGGCTTGATGACGTACATGTATGTCATCCAGCCTACCCATGCCGCCCACAGTAAATGTACTGTGGGCAGGCAGCAAGTGGTTAAAGATATTTTAAATTTTTTTCAGCTTCTAAACACCCCTCTATCTTAGCCTATGTTTCTATGCACACATAGGGGGTGTCCATGCACAGATAGAGACTGTAAAAAACAAAAACAGGATTTATGCAATCAGAGAGGAGCACTTGAGCAGAAAAAACATTTTACACTCCCAAACGCCTGTAAACGCATCTAAAAGCACCTAATCACTAGGTGAGTTTAGTGCTTGAGCATTCATTGGTCAGAATAATTGAATATTCTGGCAAGTGGAATGAATGAACACCCAAACGCTTGACACACCTAAATGCTTTGCAAAACGCATCTTTAGGCAAGTTCTTCGAGCTGCCTTCAGAGTAGCTAGGCAAATGCCAAGTGTGCATGAATCCTAATTGCCCATCGTGCAGGGCTGCTAAGCTACAAGGTGCCTGGGGCCCAGTGTGGATCAAATGGGACCAGCCAACCATATCACCCTTACAAGAGTGTTGTGCTCCCCCCTCTGGGCCCCAGCACTCACCCAGCTCCTCTGTGACTACGGGACCTCTGTGGGCCATTACCACATGGAGAACAGGAGAAGGGCACTGCAGTCTTCAATCTCCTCTGTTTGTACTGAGCTCAGAAGTGCGCAACACTAAACACTTTGGATTCAGAGCCAATAGTGCATGCAGACTGGGCCAAAATCTGCAGCCATCCAGGGCCTAGAAATCCCAGGGGGCTAGAATAGCCAATTCCAGTTATTTACTGTAGTTAGCAGTATACAAACTCTTTATTTTATCATATCAGGACATAAGAACAGAAATAGTTTACATTTGTATTGCCATATTACATTTGTTAAGCAGAACTACACTGCATCTGATCACCACAAACCAAAAATGCTGTTTAACTGCTTCCCATCCTCCCTATAGCAGAAATACTGCTACAGGGCGGCACGCATGCGCAAAATCACGTATATAAATATGGGACTTTGCATTTCTGGGTAGGGGGCGTGTGCTGTCAATCACCGGGTCCTGGCCTGTAATTACCCGCCGGTGCCCGGTGATTTCTGACGATCACCGATGGGAGGAGGACTGTTTTGTTTACTAACAGTTCTCCTCCCTGTCAGCTCAGGCACACTGCTGTGGATGGCTGTGCACAGCATTGTGATTACAGTGAAACACACAGACACCATCCCCTAGTAAAATACTCCCTGCACACAGTTAACCCTTTGATCTCCCCTCATGTTAACCCCTCCCTGCCCAGTCCCATTAGTACAGTGTCATTGCTTTTTTTTGGCACTGATCACTGTATTGGTGTCACTGGGGATGTCAGTGACACCAAGTCAGTTTCCCCCAGTATCAGAATGTATGCCGCAGTCCGGCTATAAGTCGCTGTTCACCGCCATTACTAGTAAACATTTTTTAAAAAATCCCAGTATATATACCGCCATTTGTAAATGCTATAACGTTCACGTAAACCAATTAATTCACACATATTGAGATTTTTTTTTTTTTATTAATCCAGATAACTTTTATTGTCAAGATAATAAAGAAAATGGAACAGTACATACATAATCCACAATGACATTACTGCATCAACAGGATTACACATACATAGAACAATGTGGATACACAGATCCCGTAATAGACAGAATAACAGAAATGGTAATCAAACAAAACATAGACCACAAGGATCCAAAACCTCCTTGATAATACCTTGCTTTTTCCTTTTTACCTTATATTCCTTACCATCCAGATGTAAACATAAATGGGGGAAAGGAGCAAAGCCCAAAACATGCCTTCAAACAATAAAAAAACCACATCAGCAACAACATCTGGTTCACCCGAAACATCTCATCAGAGAAAATGGAGGATGCACACGATCTCCTCTAAAGGGGAGGAGTAGAGCCACACACCTGATATAACATGTCACACCTGCAAAAGTCGGTCTGCTATGAATTGAGGAGGGGCGAGCCCAGGTGTATCCAACCCTCCCCGCCATACCTGCTGGAACTTCTGATAAGCATTGTGATGTTGGTACGTGAGCTTTTCCCGCGGGAGTAACAAATTAACACAATCTATCCATTGCTTACTAATCGGAGGAGCCGACGATAACCAGTACCTTGCTATCAACTTCATAGCCAGATATAAAAGTCTAGATACAATAACATACACTCCTGGTTGAAACAGTTCTTGGTCCAGTGCCCCCAGCAAACATTGCAAGGGATCCTGGGGAACAGTATATTGCGATACTAGAGAAATAAACTGGTGAACCTCACTCCAATATCTATGTAAATTGGGGCAGCACTAGAGCATGTGAATGAAATCGCCCTGTTGGACCCTACACCTTGGACAATCAGGTGAATCCCGTCTGCCCCACCGGTACAGTTGCACAGGGGTCCTATACGCTCGATAGAGAATTAACAATTGAGACAATTTATGAGAGGGAGAAAGAGAAATCACCAGAACAGATTCCAGGCAGCATCCCACACATCTCCAGCAAACTCTCCAATATCCCGGGACCACTGCACCCTACCCCGGAGACTAGCTTGATCCTGTGGACAATAGCTGGGAGTATACCTGAGAAATCATGCCCTTCTTATGAGTTACATCCTTAAGAAAAACTGAATCTATCAATGTGAGATTAGAGAGCGAAGACTGAGCCTGTACCGCATGGCATAGCTGAAGATATCGAAAAAAAAATATATTATGGATTGTTTTTTCAAGGGAGTACAGAAAAGAAAGCCGGTAATATGAAAGGATGCTGGGATTTTGTTTTAACAAAGGCATGCCGTAGAATACATTTTGGCATAAATTTATGGCAAAATTTGATTTTTTAAATTTTTTTACTGGACACGTTAAATAGCAAAAAGCAAAAATTATTGTTTTTTTTCTCAAAATTGTTGGTCTTTTTTTATAGCGAAAAATATGACTGAAAGAAAGCTCAATTCGTTAGAAAAAAAGGACGTAAATTTCAGTTGGGTGCAGCGTTGCATGACCGTGCAATTGTCAGTTGAAGTAAAGCAGAAAAAATAGCCTGGTCAGGAAGGGGGGTAAATCCTCTGGAGGGCAAGTGGTTAATTATTTTTTTATTTTAAAAGCAACACCCATCTATCCAT